CCTGTTCTTCTTCGTCAAATACCACCGCTACGCCCATTTCATCGTCAATCTCTGCATCCTTCCTCTCCATATCCGGGTCTACTGCTGCCTCATCTTCTGTCGCGTAATCGGTAATCTTCTTCGAGAGGTTCAGAAGCTGCGAGAAGGTCTCGTTAGATATTGAGCTCAGAATTTCTTCCACTTCTTTCTTCTTGTCAAAGTCCTTCAAGTTCTCGTTTTTGAGTGACTCCAGCACGGCGTCCGCAGCGGAACGGACTATGTCCTGTGCTTGGTCACCAAGAGCCTGGTGAACGGTAGACAAGATGAGCTCGTACACTTCTCTAGTTTCGGCAGTACGTGGTCGGTAGGTAAGTCCCTCGACGTCCTGGGTGGCTTCAATAATGTCAGTGTAGCCAAAGCCAACAGTGTCTGTAGCCTTGCGCTTCGGAAGCCTTTCTGCTGCCTCTTGCTTCGATTCTGACGCCTTTTTCTTCTTCTTTTCGAGGTCCTTGGGCAATTCACGCTGTACGCGAGATCCCATCTCTTTGGGGTCGATACGACCAGCAAGTGAAGTAGGTGCGCCATCTGGCTCTTTGTCACGCCGAGGAAGAGCAGACCTGTCGGCGGTCAAAACAAGCGAGGAGATAGCGGCATAGTTGTAGCCTGAGAGATCACGTTTTCCCGACATGGTGGAGGTCGTCGTCGGGTAAGACGACTGGGAGGTGGGTGAGTGGGTGGGGGAAGGAAGGAAAACAGGAATGTGTAAATGTGTAAATGGGAAGTTGCGCGTTTACTTTACTATCCAACGAACGCCCATAGGCGCCCATCAACTTGTCCGGAGCCACAACAATACGCTTGCGTTGACTCCCCAGTGCCAGAGTCATTGTACATCACAATAATACCCGCTAGATCCATACAGGAAAACTGGCGACGCTCTTGCAGGGCGGACCCCCCAGAATGGCAGACTTTCAGCCATCCCAACCACCCATCATCGCACCTCAAAACGATGGTTCAGGTGTTGCCCCAGAGGCTCCTCGTGAAGCCCCTGAGCCCGCTCCTATCACAGAACAAGAAGTGGGAGAATATCGTGAACAGGACCGTTTTCTCCCTGTACGTAATAGTTGTAGTATACGCTCCCAATAATGACTATGCTAATCTGCCATGTGATGCATCGGAACGAGTGACTAGATCGCCAACGTTGCACGTATCATGAAGTCCGCCGTTCCCGGCACAGCAAAAATCTCGAAGGAAGCTAAGGAGTGTGTTCAGGAATGCGTCTCTGAGTATATTAGCTTCATAACCTCAGAAGCCGCGGAGAAATGTCAGATGGAAAAGCGGAAAACAATAGGCGGGGAAGACATCCTCTACGCCATGATTACTTTAGGCTTCGATAACTACGCGGAAGTCCTCAAGATCCATCTCGCGAAGTTACGCCAGGTGAGTACCTTGTAGTCCCTCGCGTAGAGTCATGGTTTTGACGAGCATCTAGCATCAGACAGCCATTGCTGGCTCCTCTCGTGAAGCGGCAAACGAAGCTCGTGACTGATTACCACCCATGTGGTGTATAATGTTCACGTACGAGCTACTATATCCCAGAATGACTTCATGACCATGCTACTTAAGCGACGATCGTGCCAGTCATGCAACAAATACTGTCACTCAAGGAGAGTACGTCATTCACAGGCACCACAGTTTTCTACATCTTCTCTTAGCGATTGGTGACTTTCCCGTCGGCTGACTGATGTAAAAAATCATATTGAGGTAAGTTACGAAGCTGGAGCTCCCGAGGTCCAGTACAGGACATGTCCTAAGTCTAGTCTCACGCATTTCGTCTCGTCCTGATATTGATTATGTGCATGCCCCTTTTAAGTTGACCACACCTGAGTGTGGTCAGTTGTGTTACTAATTATTCTAAGAGTTCTACACATATCGTACCTCCTCTCACCCGGATAGGTTTGTTCAATGCTCTAGAAAGTTGGATTTCGCGATCAGAAACATGGTTCCTAGAGTGCCACTTAAAGAACATGATATTGCATTGTTAGAAGGGGTTGGATAGTGTCAGGTAGTTCATGACTTCCGATAGTCCCTGAGTTATAAAGTCGGAATGCCATTAAAATCTTTCCCGCGGTCGACACCAATTTTTCTACGCAATCTCTAAACCTATACCATTCCGTCAAAGTGAGCCCCTCTCCGTCTACGGCGAACCACATCGTTATATTGACCAGCAAGTGAGGACGCCACGAGTCCAATAATAAAGAGAACGGAATGTCCGTCGTAATATCAAGGCAACGTAAGTGTCGGAATTCACCAAGTGCCACACCCCTGAGAGAATCCGCTTCAAGCTCAAAGATGTCGAAACGGAGGTTGCGAAGGTGCTCCATTACAGACAGTTTTTCGTACCATCGATGGCGAACATCGCTGAGTGTGGTAGATTCCATACAGCCAACTGATATATCAATTAGATGTTTCATGTGGAACATAGGACCGAGGCACAGTATATCAATGCGCTTGAGTTGTAAATTTACAGCAACGCTACTGAGTTTTGGACATCGTTGAGAAAGAGACTGGATGCAAAGGTGTTATTGTTGCGATTTTGAGAGCTTTCCAAACGATGCTGCCAACTCGGGCATTTTTGCACGGATGTCGATGGCGAAATGACGCAAGTCAGTGGAGTAGAGAAGTGATACCTCGGTTGTAGTGATTGGCCAACAGCGTAATGTTAAACAGCACAGGTTTGGAAGTAACACCTCCCCACGAGAAATCCGGTATAAGAAAGCAAGTTTCGAAATGTCTTTTTGTGATCCTACCCCGCCGGAGTAAATCAGGTGTTGGACGAATCCGGAATACGATTTCAGCTGTTTGAAGATATCATGTTCAAGTTCCTAGCTTCGGTCAGGATTAAATATTAGGCGTCCATATTGTATCGACTTACAGGTGTGCAAAAACTAGTATCGGGTAACAACGACAGGATAGAATCCAAGCCATCCAATGTACGCCATATGGCAGCGGTAGCAGGCTCTTTGAATGCCCTGCAAACCCTGGCAAGCCTTGCTAGAGTCAACGAGCATTCTTTGGTATCCTGTGTCTTCTCATTGCGATCAGGGTATGGTCCTAAGAAGTAAAGTATGATTTGTAGGATATCAATATTTCTGAGACCACAATGTATAGCACTGAAACTAGGATGGCTTGTATACGAGGTCATCACTGCAACCGTCATAACTTGCTGTGGTGGAAGGGATCACAAATGACTAGAGGCGGTTGAGTAATCGATCGTAAGGAGTCGATTTCAAGGTAGGAAGATACTAAGTACCTCACAAATATCCTACTCAGGACCCAGAGGATCGTAACCGTGTATCCATCATTGTACTTTATCATCCTGATTATAGTGTATTAATATTTTCTATTTCTGTAATATAGAAATTTTCGAAACAAAACATAATAGGGAATCACAACCGCTGACTCGGATGTCCGAGTCAATGACAGCAATGTGCCTACATACTTTCTGGATGTTTGCATCCAATAGTTTGTGTAGTTGCCATATAGCGACGGTCGCTACGTAGCGACTTTAAGTGTGCACTACGTTCATAAAGGTTTTCGGGCCTCAGACTTGGATCTATGCGAGCGAGTGGGACAGATATCTCCAGGGCATGGAAATTAGGGTCCACGCTGGAGAACGTACTATGATGTAACAATGAGTACTATCAAAAGGCTACGAGAAAACACTAATGCTGACCTCCCCTCGACACATGACCTTGAGATCTGGTTGGTCAGCTGCCAACATCTCATTTCAATAATTGTACCATGCGCGTCGCTATCCTGGAAATACATCGACTTCTCTTGAAAGCACATCTGTTGATCGGGATCGAGATTTAGCCACAACTTACGAGTATGGGCACCGATGGGTAGTAGGATCTTGATGGGTTCGGTAACCCACAGCGTTACGTCCTGGGCACCGTACTGTATTCCGTAATCATGTTTCAGTATACTGCACATACGTGCAAAACGAAAAAGTAGTTCAGCTTCGTCTTCGTCCCCTTTCAAATCAATCGGAGAGCAAAATTCCAAATCGAGGGTGATGATCCAGCCTAAAAGGCAATCAGTGACATGTTCATTAGTCCTCTAGAGATGGTCATATAAGCTTACCAAGAGCAGTATATATATCTTTGATGATTAAGTCGAAGTTCACTAAAGAATGAGGAAGGAACAAATATGTATTGGCCTTCGGATTATCAAATGACCAACCAGTATCACGCCGCCTGTGGAGTTTTATGATTAAGTTTTCAGTAGCAGTAACGATAAAGGAGCTGGAGATTACTGACAGACACCGTGTTACTTGTTCCACCAAAGGACGGGGACTTTTGCAATACGTCTTGGCCCCAGTTGATTGAGCTATACGTTCTAAGGCAGACATCATATATCGTTCCACCTAGAGTTATATGTCCAGGAGGTCAGGCAAGTGGGACTTTATATCCGTTGTTGGACGTACATACATCTGTAAAATTGTTGCAGACCGGAATCATGGCGATGAGGGAAAGGGGTGGTTGGAGTCTAGCAGATAACAGATGTCGCAGAACAAGAAGAAAAGAAAACTAGAGGGGAGAAACCAGCTTCCTCTTATATATCTTTAGCTCAAGCATTGGTCAATGCGCCACAGTCAGAGAACAAATAAATGTTAAATCGCTTTTAACATTCTATGATCGGTGTGGCGTGTGGACGGGAGCATACATTGACTTAATGAAAGGAATAACTGTTTTTCTTTCTGCAGAAGAGATAAGCATTGACCTACCTGTGGCTACCGGATTGCCTAGACAATGTGTATATGTCAGAGCAGTTGACGAGAATCAAGAAACCTGGTCTATGGCCCTAAATAAGAAGTGTTACTGGAATGTTCATGGTTCATGGACAATGTCAGAAACAGTATATGTATGTTTGAATAGATGTGAAAACCGCATATCATCGAGTAGTGTACGTGAAGTTAGATGTGAACAAAGACAAAAAGAATCTAAAGATGTCTAACACGATTCGGATACGGGGAATTGAACCCCGGGCTATCGCGCACTCCTATGAGAGGCGATAATGTTAGCCACTACACCATATCCGATGATTGATTGGGGGGCACCAAGCTGTCATGGACATTTCAAATCTCCGGTCATACGACCACCGTCCATGATGATAAAGGTATTCAAACCGTAAGTTGATCCTAACCCTGAATCTTGATTCTACTGTAGCATTGTAACATCATACTCATCGAATATTACCAGGCCTCCATTTGTATTCAACCATCCAACCGATCTGTTCGGTCGTTGTCTGAGGTATCATTCGTATGCACCGCAAAACCTAGTCATCAATCCCGCGTCCGTGACTCCAACTCGGAATCCAGTACACTCCAAATTCCCTCAAATACGCCACGGTTTTCTGCGAGCCCCAATCAAAACCATGTCGTCTACTGCTACCTCTTCATCATCTCTGTCCACAGTGGACTTTGCTTCTAAAATCAACAAGGAAGATCATGAACTTGTTTCACGATTACACCAGGTTTCCAAAAACTCACCTAAACTAATCCGATCAACACAGTACACTGCACCGGCAGATCCATCCATCCATCTTCGTAGCTGGAAGATGAACGAGTTTAAATACTATGACATCCCTTCCCCATTTCCCACCTTGGCCAGAGGAGTCTTTACCCAAGAAGTCAAAGTGGCCGATGAGATCAAGTATCGCATTGTGGTAAGAGGATATGACAAGTTCTTCAATATCGGTGAAGTGCCTTGGAATTCGGTAAGTCGAATGTCTATGTGCGATCAATGTCTTTTTGGCTCGCTCATCAATCTATCCAAGTGTAGTGGGCTGCTCTGGAACAGCATACTCAGCCCCCCTACACGCTAACACTGAAATCAAATGGATGTATTATCTTTATTGCTGCCCTAACTCCTACAAAACTTGTAGTTACTTCGAAGCACGCTGTTGGTGCCGCGAATGAACCACAAGCTCACTCACAGGTGGGTTACAAATGGCTACTAAAACATCTCGAATCGGTTGGCAGAACAGAGGAAGATCTTTCCAAATTCCTTTGGGAGAAGAATTGGACCGCCGTGGCAGAGGTAGTTGTTCAATCATCATACATAGTCGATGCTAACTTCCTTAAAGCTCTGCGATGACTCATTTGAAGAACATGTCCTTCCTTATGGCAAAGAAGAAACCGGTCTACATCTCCACGGTCTCAACGAATGTTCCAAACATTTCAAAACTATGCTCCAGGACGTTGTCGATTCTTTTGCGAGTGAATGGGGTTTCATTCAGACCGCTTCCGTCGTCTTCCAAACTATTCCCGAGGTTAAAGCATTCACCGACGAGGTCGGTAGTACTGGGAAATGGCACGGTAAAGCCCTCGAAGGATTCGTCGTACGAACACATGTTTCTTCCCACCCACCTACCAGGGGCGACAAACCTGCGAGTGCGTCTCCGTACGAACCCGGATCCTCCTTCTTCTTCAAAGTCAAATTCGACGAGCCTTACATGATGTATCGTGACTGGAGAGAGGTCACCAAGTCTCTTCTTTCGAAAGGTCTCTCTCAAGGCAACGTACCAAGGAATAAGCTGAGGCGACCAGAGACGAAAGCCTACGTCCAATGGGTAATCAACGAGGTCAATAGAGACCCCAAGCCTTTCGCTGACTACAACAAAGGTCGGGGAATTATTGCTACTCGCGAACTTTTTTTGGAATGGTTGGAAACTCCCGAGGGCCAGGACGTCTTGAAGGGCGTAAAGACCCTGTCCCTGACTCATCAGGCCGTCTCGAAAGACTCTGAAGGTACAAAAGAATTCGGAAAGACGGTCATTGTGCCTGTGGCGATCCCTGGAGTTGGGAAGACATCCATCGCTGTTGCATTGGTGCACCTTTTTGGATTCGGGCACACCCAAAGCGATGACGTTCAGGCGAAGAAGCCCGCCCCCATCTTTGTCAAGAATGTCGTCAATCTACTGAAGAAACATGACGTCGTTATTGCCGATAAGTACGCATTACTATATCTTTATTCCCCGATACGAAATACTAACAAACTCACTTAGAAATAATCATCTCATACAACACCGTCAACAACTTCGCGACGCCACGCGAAGTATCATCCCTCCTGTCCGCTTAATGGCCTTTAATTGGTCTTTCGATATCCCGCTTTCTACTATCCATCGTGTATGCAGTGATCGAATTTCCACTCGTGGAGAAAATCACCAAACCCTCCGTGCAGACGATAATCGCTCTTACGAAGACGTATTGTGGAACTTCCTCAAGCAAGCTGAGGGATTAAAAGAAAACGAGGTTGACGTGTCTATCGAGATGGACATCGAAGAGGATCTTGAGAGTGCGTTGAAGAGAGCCGTCGACGCATGTGTAGAAGTCCTTGGAGTTCCAAGACCAGAAGTCGAGAAGATGGGCGAGGCGTTGGCGATTGTGAGAGGGTATTCACCAAAGACGAAGAGGAACACCAAGAAGGAGAGCAGCGCTCCTACACCGAGGTACTATGCTCTGCTGCCGGAGTTCGATATGGTTATGTTTATGAAGGAACAGGCGGGCGCGGATGGTGTTCCTCCAGAGGGGAAAGCCTTCTGGGACGAGTTACTGAAGAACGGCCGAACAGGAGACCGTGTTCCTCACATTACCCTCGTCCACTCCAAGTCTCTACATGGTGATAACCAGCAGCTATGGGACCGATCTCGCGAACTCTCTAAAAATGCTCTCTTTACTTTCCGACTTGATAGCATCATCTGGGACGACCGAGTTATGGCCATAGTCGTTGAAGATCTAGCTGTTTCTACGGACGACGGCCTCGACCTCGATTCCGAGGAACGAACCAAAGCAGCGGATTATATGTTGAAGATGCCCTCTGAGGTGAAGGATCGGTTACACATCACTGTGGGTACGAGGTCGAAGGACATCCCTGCGGTGGAAGCGAAGGATTTGGTCGCTCGGTGGAGGGCGGGTGAGAAGCAGAATATTGGAGAGTTTGCGTTGGGCGGTGTATGGATGAAGGGCAGGGTGAAGGATTAATGAGGTAATTTTTAGCTCGCAATACCAAAAATAGGTACTGTAGCATATTCGATGTATATTAGCAACACACTGCTCACAACTCAATCATTTATGACCCGACATCGAGGAGATGATCCGTCAAGTCTCAGTTCGTTACATGTACCAGGAGTCCTTGAGTTACGAGCCTTTAGTCAAATTCTACTTCACGTCAGTATACCTGTTTTAAATTCTACTAGGTCTATATACTATTTACTTTACAGCGGTATTGAAGCTGTACTTTGAGTCTGCTACCACTGTAGTCTACCCTAGGCTCAGGTATTACTTCGAAGCAGTGATCTAATCTTATCTTATTCCCACGCCATGAATTCATCCCATCTATAGCCAAACGCGACTGGCACAGTCTGAGTGACATCTTACCCTTGACCTTCAACTACTTCTACCGCTCATTATCCCTCTTTCCTTGCTTCAGACATATCACATTATATACGTACTATCCTGGAAGAAACCATAAAGAACCAAGTGAATGGCAGAACGAGCTAATTCCAATATGTTGTTTGCCAACTTCAATCAAGACTTCACGTAGGTTACCAAACAAGTACTCCCGGTATTCGCCCCTCACACTCTGAGCTTGGACTAGGTGTATCTCTGTGGGTACTCGGAAAGGCTACAGTATAACCAATTGCGATCCGTTCGGTCGGGTATATACCATGAGTGCGTGCTTAACGATGCTATGGAGATGCCTATCCTGACGTTACATTAGATGACGGTGCTCGAGGCATTGTGGAAATGCTCTTCTGTACATCATTAATTGCACTCGTAGGCGCAGCCGATCACCCCCAGTCAAGTCCGAGGAAATTGCAGATCGTCAATACGAAGGTATGTCCTACCGCTCCATTCACTGCGGGACACAAGGGATGGGTCTCCAACCCCGGATCTATCCCACCTTACGCTATACTTCTATGGAGATCACGAAGCTCACATATCCCCCAAATCCTCTAGAGGCAATCCATGATATGTGAACTGCTGTTCCCATCCTCGATTCTTGCCGTCAAGCTGAACAGGAAGACACTGGTCATTGTCCTCGAGAACGAGATATACATCTACGACATTTCCAACATGCGGTTACTTCATGTCATTGAAACAACACCGAACCCTGAAGGTAGGTGCTGCCTTTCCAGCATGGAGCTTATTTGCTTTCCGGTACTAATGATCTTCCTGGTATAGCGATCGTTGCGCTTTCGCCTTCTTCAGACAATTCCTACCTCGCATACCCTTCACCCGTCCCCTCGCCCACCTCGAATGCTTCAGGGTCATCTCCAACCCCATCAGCTTCAAACGCAGGCGATGTCCTGATCTTCTCAACCCGGACACTAACCGTCACCAATGTTATACAAGCGCACAAATCCCCTATCTCATGCATCTCAATAAATTCGACAGGTACTCTACTAGCAACAGCGTCCGATAAAGGTACCGTCATTCGGGTTTGGAGCATACCCGGAGCCGAGAAACTGTATCAGTTCCGACGGGGGACGAGAGAAGCCAGGATTTATTCGATGAACTTCAACATTGTTTCGACTTTGCTTGCTGTTAGTTCGGCTCATGATACGATCCATGTTTTCAAGCTAGGTCCCCAGAAGTCGTCGAGCGGGAATGGGAAGAGCAGTCAGAGCGGGCTGACTTCGCCTTCAAGTCCGGCCGGATCGCTAGATAGTAGGGATGTTAGTGAACAAGGTCTAGACGGAGGTTATGACGCATTCATTGAAAAGAAGAAGAACGGCAGTGTTTCGTAAGTCCCATACTGTTCAAAAGAAACCAGAGAGGTGCTTACCTCATCTCACTTAGGTCAAGTCTTCGTCGACGTTCATTACATCTGACCAAGAACATCACATCGTCCGTTGGCGGCTACCTCCCAAATACTCTAACTGAGATGTGGGAACCGTCTCGAGATTTTGCGTTCCTTCGGCTACCGACTAGTGGCACGAAGAGCGTAGTCGCATTGAGCGGGTACGTTTGAGACTTCGGTCACTCACTAGACCTCTTCTGACGCTTTCCCTGTAGAACGTTACCTCAGGTTATGG